AATAATAATAATAATAATAATAATAATAAAAGAAAAGTAAAAAGAGGCGCACCTTCCTGCACACCCGCTACAGGTCAGGAAGACACGATGAATTCATAAGTGGAAGGTGAAGAAACGCGGGAGAAAACCGCATCTGTCTTCCTCCTTGCTCATGTCTCACAAGGCACCCCGGCCTCAAACACCCGTGTTTTCTCGAGGCCACTCGATCAACAGGGACGAGGCTCTTTCGCCGTGGGGCAAGTTATTCTCGCCCATTTCCATTCTTTCTTCTCTTCACATCCCCGGGTAGAATGAAGAAGAAGAAAAGAAGGGGAAAAAAGCCACCACGGAATGAACGTTTCACCCGCACGCCCCATTAGCAGTCCCACCCCAATACGCCTTTCCCACCCCCTCTCCACAGAGCCCAACTGGTAGGCTTACCCCCGTTGATTTCGCACGGGCCCCCGACGAGGGCAGCGAAGACGGACGCCGCAGCGAAGCCCATCGCCTCCAGTAAACCACAAGCGGCCCCGCCGCCGGAGCGGACATGTTGAAGGTCATCCGACGCCACGGTGGCTCTGGCACATATTCAGGCGGAGAACGCCAGAACACTCGGGAATCGCCAAGCGAGCTACCTCCTGCGCAGCCAGGGCCAAACAAAAAGAAAAAACAGCCAACAGCGAGGAAAAGGAAAGGGGGGAGAGTAAATATAGCCCCAGACGGATTAAAAAGGAGTCCCATTCACGTCGACCCTGTTTAAATAAAGTACATAGAGATGGAAAGGGCTGCCCCCACACACGCGTTGTCAAATTGAACGAAAACTGTTCATTCAAGAAGCTGCAAAACTCAAGTGTTAGTTCGAAAACATTCATCGCCTGCTCTACGATCCTACTGTTGTTTTTGCCTCGATCGAAGCACCACCATCATCATCATCGTTATTATTGCTGTTGGCATGGCAAACAGATCGAGACTGCGCACGTCGCAGCCGTCGCTTTCGCATATCAAGCATCTTGCGACAGTACTTCTCGTAATCCCAATGGATCAAAGCAGAAGAAAACACCGCCGATAGGTTCATTCCGAAACACACCAACAAAGGCATGAGAACACACTCCTTGCCGAAGCACACAGCGCTGCCCCGCTTTGCAGCCTGGTGTGTGTACCACTCACCGTAAAGCAACCGATTCATCAGCACCGAAGCGGCGATGCCGGTGATCATGCAGCAATTGTAGTGTTTTGCAACATCAGCTGCATATATGGTGCGTACGACGATCACAATTGCAGCAGCCGAGCATCCATTGGCAAGCGCCATAGTAAAACAAGGCAGAGGGAGTGCGTTACGTGGCAGAAGCAGCAGTAGCGCGATTGTCGCCACTGTGAGACCGGTTGGAACAAATAAAGCGAAGGTAATGGGTATACGATCTTCAGCTGAACGATTCTGTGTCACCATCTCGAGAATGCTTAGCAGAATACGGCCAACCCCACTGCCGACACCCATTATCACAACGAGGAGTGCTACAAACGCTTCATCTAGTGCATTTCCCGCCAGAGCGCCAAAAAGAAAGCGCGCATTGCCAATTACAATGATTTGTGCCCCAAATAAGCAAAACATCGTCCATAGCAACGCCCAGAAACGAAACGTTCGCAGATTCTCCACTAAAGTCGTCTGAAATTGCGGGGCGATGTAGTCAAGCTCCGCCGCAAGAGCCGTGCTGTCTGTACTTTCTCTAGTCATTCGGCTTAGACGACTCATTCGACTCACACGGCAGGAGCCCGAAGAGTAGCTACCGACTTCAAGCGGCTGCAATTTGCGGTCAAGCGCCTTGATCGGCAATGCCATGAGCGGATAAAATGCAAAGAGACCCAATGCGATGCACGCAAAGGCGACGTGAGACGCATGGCTGAGATTCATGAAGGCTGACAACGCGCCTTGTACTGGGAGGAATATTGTCAAGGCGATGAGAACTGTAAACCCAATAGCGAAGCGGGCGGTTGGTGCCTTCCGCCGCAGGTACTGTTTCCTGTAGCGGCGCCGCACCCGTCTTTCCTCCTCAGAGAGGACGCCTTCCTCACAGCCCTTGATCATGTACGGCGGCACCTCCACAAACAGGAAGCCGAGGAAAGAAACGACAGCTGTCACAGAAGCAAGAAGGAAGAAAAATCGACTTGTATCGCTATAGCTATCTGTGCCGAAAAACGCCATGTGTATGGCGCCAAGAATGGCCGATCCCATTCCAGAAAACGTCTTCATGACGGCCACAACGGCGCCCCTGTTCGCTGGGAATATCGACAACAATGTCATGACGGCGGAAATGTCAAGCATCGAGGTGCCCAAAGACTGTAAACAGGCGTAGACAGCGAACGCCGGTACGGAGCCAGTTATGGCATCTGCATACGTTAAACCGAACATAACAGCACCCAGCGGAAATGTTATCATTGCAATCACGAAAAGCGGCTTGGCACCGTAATAATCGTAAATGACGCCGAATGGGAGGGTGAATCCCCCCACAACATCACTCAGGGTCGTAATGGTCGTCATCTGGTTCTGCGTAAAGTTATATTTGGACTGCAGCTGGCCACTGTAGAGATTGAACGCGTAGGAGGACGAGACGGCAAAGCAGCACAAGGCACCCACCACCAACTGCCAGAAGCGTCGCGGCTCGTTTAACGGCGGCACATCTGAATGAAAACGACTCCCACTTCGCCGTCGCCCACTACCGTCACCAGCAGCAGTAACATCGTTTGGAGTGTAGAGATCTTCCGGTCCCATTTTTGGTGAGTGCGCATGAGAGAGGAGAGGTGCGGCCAGCGGCACCTCACTCCCCGTTCCCTCCTCATCCTCCACGTCGTTCAAATATGACGTTATGTCGTCATCATCGCTTAGGAGGTCTTCGGGGCCTGTGATGGTGTACAGAAGGGGCGGCTGCTGAATCGTGGATGCCATGTTTTTTTTTCCTTTTTTTTTTGGTGAGGGGGCCACCTTTTGTTCCTCGTGTACTGCGAGCCTCTCGCCTTCGCTGTGTTTGTTTCTTATTTTCTACGACTCCTCAAAAGCGACACGGGAAGACAGAAGATTAAGACAATAGGTCCCGAGCCCATGTACACGCCCACTGTTTACTGTTACTTCCTCTCTCCCATTCGATGGAGCTGCTACAGGACGAACGCACGTGCAATGGCGTCCGCACCAACGCCCTGCAACACTGAACGAAATCGTTCCTTATCGACGTCATTTTGTTTCAAGTAGATTGCCTCAAGGCGGGGAAAGCCTGAGAGTCGTCTTTCTCCAACACAAGAAGAAGCGGTCACAGTGTGTAGCAGCTCCGTCGCCGCGGATGTTGGCATTTGGACATGGTTAAGGTGTACACGACGCAACACCGACCGACACGCCTGCAGCAGTCTGCCCAGCAGCAGCGTCGCGTCGTCACTGCCGGCGTAGAGCAGATTGTTCGTAAGGCCCACAGTCTCAAGCGGATGTGGTTTCATACCCCCGGAAGCTGCGTTAGTGCCGCCGCCGCCACCACCACCACTATCATCGCCATCAGGAGCCGCAGCCAAAGCATCACACACCCACCCCTCTGTGTACTGAACAATAGCCTCGAGACCCGGCACGCCAAAGTCGTTGCTGGCCACAAACAAACACTGGAGGAAGGGCAGTCGCGGTAGACACTGCACGCAGAGGCGTATGATGCCTTCGTCTCGCAGATCATTGCACTCCAGGTCCAGCGTGCGCAAGCTGCTGAAGAGGCCCTCCCCGCCAAGAAGAGTGCAGAGAGTGAGGTTCCCTGTGCCATCTTGGCACGACACGTCCCTCTCCTCAGGCGCCACGTCGGCAGCGACAAGTCGTGCGTGGCGGAGCTCCAGGCCCCGAAGCGGCTGACCTGACACGCCACAGAGAGCGTGCAGCACACACGCAGCGGTGACGCCTTGCACACCATCTGACGCCGCCGCCGCCTCGCCGCGGGAACGCTTTTGTGGCAACCGGCAACCGGGAGCAGCGGCAGTGCCGCGCGTGGTAGGCACCTTACGCAACTTCAGCAGCCCATCGAACCTGCTTGACCGCAGCTGCGAGAGGAAGTCATCGCGAAGGCGCGGCTCCGCAGATGCAGAGGAGAACTCCACCGCAGCACACGCGGGCATCAGTCTTGTAAAGAAGAAGATGAAGAGCGAAAGGAAACGAGCATTGAAAGCCCCCCAAAAATAAAAAAGCATCCGAGTGAAAAAAAAAGGCCTGCAAGAGTTCGTTCATCGCCAAACAAAGCCTCCAAACAACAAAAACAAAAAACTCAGGGCCCCCTGCGCAAGTAAGCCTCACTCTCTCAGTAGGCGTTGTCTTGCCTGCCAATGTGGTCTCTATCAAAACATCTATGGTGTGCACCTCACGAGGACGATGCTGATGAAACAGAGCTGCTCTCGAAATCATCGTCGTAGCTCCCTTTTTCTTTACTTTTGCCACTGCCGCTGCTTTTATCGCTCCTACTGCTGCTGCTGCTGCTGCTACTGCTACTGCTGCTACTGCTACTGCTACTGTCACTTTCAGAGTGGATACTTGCTTTACGCTCTTGTTTCTTCACAGCCGTAGCCGCAGGGGTGCCCTCGCCTGTCTGTTCCTTATCATCCTTCTTCCCTTTGGAAGCCCTATCACCCCCATCATCGGTCGTTATTTTCGCGGCCTCTATTGCGGGAACAACACCAGAACCAGCAGCAGCGTTGTCACTACTGGCGCCTCCGAGGATAGCGGCCAGCGTGCTACCGTCCACACCGCTCTCCTTCAGCATCCGCATGATCTCCCGCTCCGTCTCTGCGCGCGCCTTTGCAATGTCGTGCAGGTGTGTAGGCTCCACAAAAATGGGTGGCATCTGTGCCACACGCATCCGCATCTGCTCCAGCCGCTCTGCAGCCTCCTGCTCCAACTCTCGGTTCCGTTGACGCAGAGCCCGGACCTTTTCTTTAATGACAACATCTGTATTGCCGCGAATGTCCTTTAAGCATTCCTTCAGCCTTGCGTTCACTGCCTTCTGTCGCTTGTACGCCTCCTGCAGCTCGACCAGTTCATCTCGTTTACTCTGCTCCTCTGACGCACTGAGGTACTTGCTGAACACCGCCTGTGTGCGCATAGCATGTGCGCGTGTCCCTTTGGGCACAACCTTCTTTTTCTGTTCGTTCTGACGCGAGGCGGAGCGTAGTGCTTGCGTCTCCTTCGTGGCAGTCCTGCACCGCTGTGGTGTCCGTTTTGTCGCTGCGGACATAGCACGTCGCTGTAGCAACGCTGAACGTCCCCTGACAATAGTATCCTTCGCTGAGACTGTTAGACTGAATGGTTGTACCGATGTGGGCTGCCGCTTGCGCCTACGCTCCGCCAGAGCGAGGCGATCCTCCGCCCACATGGCTTCGAAGTTTGGCACGCCGTCACGTATCCTTGGCTTGAAGGTAAGGTTGCGATTGTACTTTTCCTCCTCTTGGGCTTTACCACGCTTCACCTCAGACTGGGCAGCAGCACCAGGCGACTGCTCCTGCTGCTGCTGAAGTGCGACAGGAACCACAGCCGCGATGCCAGTTGGCGTCGTGGCTGATAGCACCGCAGGTGGTGTCAATAGTGGGGGTTGAGCGGGCACGGCAGATGCAGCAGGAATTGCGGAAACAGCAACAGTTGTGGCAGCAGACGCAGTTACAGCAGAAGTGCCAGAGACTGTCAGCTGCGGCACAGCCGGGGCAACAATTGGCCCGCCCACTGGCACAATAGGCGGCGGCAGAGGGCCTACGTGTGGCTGCTGCTGTGGCTGCTGCTGCTGCTGCTGCTGCTGTTGGAGTGGGACGAAAGCCACTCCACCCTGCTGGAGTTGTTGTGCGCCGTCCAGAAGAGCTGCGCGTCGTGCCTCCTCCTTCTGCATGTCCTTTAGACGATCCGCCGCACGCTGCTTGATGCGCTCGTTGCGAATCTGCTCGTGCTCCTCGAGCGCAGGCCAAAGCTTCATCTTCACCTCGAGCGGGATTTCGCGCAACTCGACGACGCTGCGACGGTCCTTGTCCACCGCACCGGCGCTCCGCGCCCGCCGCACGCCCATGACTTGGCGCACGTCCCGCAGACTCGCCGCGGAGACGCGGAGCAGCTCCGTCTCCTCGCGCATGCGCTCGGC